CAAAACTGACCAATATTTAAATCTCTTAACAAAACAAAAACACCTCATATTTAACTTTCTTAACAGAACAAAACTGACCAATATTTAAATCTCTTAACAAAACAAAAACACCTCATATTTAACTTTCTTAACAGAACAAAACTGACCAATATTTAAATCTCTTAACAAAACAAAAACACCTCATATTTAACTTTCTTAACAGAACAAAACCGACCAATATTTGACTTTCTTAATAGAACAAAACTGACCTACATTTAAATATTTTAATAGAAAAAAACAACCAGTATTTAAATCTCTTAATTGTATAAAACCAACTAATATTTACATTTCTTAATCATATAAAATCAACCGATATTTGAATTTCTTAATCATATAAAACCGACCAATGTTTAAATATCTTAATAGAACAAAACCAACCTATATTTAAATATCTTAATAGAACAAATCAACCAATATTTAAATCTCTTAACTGTATAAAACCAACCGATATTTACATTTCTTAATCATGTAAAACCAACCGATGTTTAAATATCTTAATAGAACAAAACCAAGCAATATTTAAATATCTTAACCGTATAAAACCAACCGATATTTAAATTTCTTAATCATATAAAACCAACTGATATTTAAATATCTTAATAGAACAAAACCAACCTATATTTAAATATCTTAATAGAACAAAATCAAGCAATATTTAAGTCTCTTAACCGTATAAAACCAACCGATATTTAAATTTCTTAATCATATAAAACCAATCGATATTTAAATATCTTAATAGAACAAAACCCACCTATATTTAAATATCTTAATAGAACAAATCTACCCATATTTATATCTCTTAACCGTATAAAACCAACCAATATTTAAATTTCTTAAACATGTAAAACCAACCAAAGTTTAAATATCGTAATAGAACTAAACCCACCTATATTTAAATATCTTAATAGAACAAAACCAAGCAATATTTAAATCTCTTAACCATATAAAACCAACCGATATTTATATTTAATATAAAACGAGTGATGTTTAAATCTTAATAGAACAAAACCAACCGATATTTAAATCTCCTATTATTGTGCAAAGCTGACTGATATTTAAATCTCTTACTAAAACAAGACTGATCATCATAACTGTGATTTTCTGTAAAGCTGCGCTACACGAATACACTTGACTTGACTTGATCTGCTCAGCCTCATTAATCTCCATCTTTCACAGCTGCTGTTGTTCATCTGAGAGTTTTATTCCTGATTGCTCAGCGCTGTTTGGAAAGCATCACCTGAACTAAACCCCGAGCATCATGTTTGTCATCCATAAGCATGAAGAAATCTGCATAGATTTCAAAGCTCTCTTTCCTGGAAGGTCAAGCGGCATGTCAGAGATGAGCATGAGTATGTGTTCCCTGAAGACATGTGCTCCTTCACCCCGTTATCTTCATACATGATGAGAGCAGGAGTCCAGACTGAGCCCTGAGGACACGGTGGGGCAAAGAGACCAAATGACAACATCTACAGCCTCAACTCTTCCCTGAAGTGACGGATGATCCCATCCATGTTCAGCTGAACAGCTAGTAACTGCACGAGTTAGTTGGTGCACGACCGAGAATTCCTGGCAAATTACTAAAACTCATAGTTTGATTTAAATTTAAGACAGAAGATCCAGATGAAGCGTGCCGTTAAATATTATAGTCAGCATGACATCAAAATAACCTCTATTTGCCGTGATAACTTATGTCCTACTCTCATTGTGAATGATTCATCAGTGACATTATTCTACAGAAATAAATTCATCTTCATAATCCTTAATCAAAATGTAACAACTTGCTCCAGAAACGACTTTCCTTCCATCTGACCTCATCAATACCTTCGATTAATCAACCGCTTTCATATAGAGATACTTTCACCATTTGATCAGTTCGGGATATTGTTTTTCTTGGTAATATCCTGTTTCATCCAAATTACACAAGAAAAATGGATTTCAATTTTTTTTTAATAGTTAAGGTACTTTAACATTATCTTCATGACTGAACAGGTACTGTGCAAATCAGGGAAATATGCCTAAATAAATCAGAGGATTACAGAACGCAGCGGTATAATTTTTGTGTCCTTGAGATTATTATTTTTTTAAATCAGTTTTATATTTTTTGTTTTAATTTTAGTTATAGTAATTTTGTTTGTTTTTATTCAATTTAGTTTTTTTTAAACAGGTCTTTATAGTTTTTATAAATATTTTTAATCATTTTTTATATTTTTAATTTTAGTTAAAGTTTTAGTAATTCTGTTGTGTGTATTTGACATTTTTAGTAGTTGTGTGTTTTTATATACAGTACATATAGTTTAGCTCAGTGAAAAAGTTTTTCATATTTAATTTATTTCAGTTAACGATTACTTAATTTCAAGTAACAAAAAAAAAATATTTTAGTCTTTTTATTTTAGTTTCAGTTTTATAATAACCCTGGTGTGCAGATTGATGCATATGTCAAGCGTTTGTTTTCTAGTGTATTTCAGATGCAAAAAACCCCCACAAAATCTGAATGAGCAGGAGGATTGAGAGCGACTGCATGTTTGGATTGCAGTGTTTGGATCAATCAGACAGTGTTTGTCAGATCACATCATCTAAACTGCTTTTATTTAGTTATGGAATATTTTCCAAAGAAATGAGGAGCAGTGCCATGCAAATTCAAGGAGATGGCATAATTGCTGAAGAACAAATCTCTCGATTCATCAATGTGAGGAAGGATCCAGATCTGATGTCTGAGTGTCAAATTAAACACATGTTTAGTTTCTCTGGGATCTCAATTCAGAGGAACTCAGTGTTTGTCGGAGCTTGACAGCAGCGCCTGTGGCAAAAACCAGAACCTATGCCAGTGACTCATCATTTATTAGAAAGTTCCAGGCCCGAGACACTGATGCAGTGCTACATTTCTACAAACCTGATGAAGAAACAAACTCTTCCTAATTTCGGACGGCCTGAGGGTGAGTGAACCAGCAGATTTGAATTATTTTTCAACTATTCCTTTCAGTGTGTAAATAAATCCTGCATGACCAGAAGATCACAGAGACTCTTCCACAGGTAAGCGACACTCATGTTCCCTTCAGTAACTGTCAGTGGAGTTGAACCATCATTTATTAGAAAGTTCCAGGCCCAAGGCTACAGATCCCACCGTCATCCTCAGGTCCACACACATCCGATCTGAGCGAGTGAAGAAACCAGGTGAGAGTTTCAGTGACGCAGTCTATAAATCCTGCTTAACAGATATAGAGATCCAAATCACTTAGCAACTATAAACACAAGTGAAAAAAAAAACTGTGTTAAAGGTGTTATATACCATAGATGGGTTGAAATCTGAATTTAGAACTATTAAAATCAAGTTTTCAGAAAATTAGATTATTGATCTGAATGAACGTTTGCTAGTGTCACTATTGCTAGTGCTGCAAACAACTTTGATATGTGTAGAGGTTAAAACTTCTAACATCAAGTGTTAAACTTCAAGGAATAGATTACCGAAAAATGAAAATCTGCTGTAAATGTGCACACCCTCAGGCCGTCCGAGATTAGGATGAGTTTGTTTCTTCATCAGATTTGGAGAAATGTAGCATTGCATCAGTGTCTCAGCAATGGATGCTCTGCAGTGAATGGGTGCCGTCAGAATGAGAGTCCAAACAGCTGATAAAAACATCACAATAATCCACAAGTAATCCACAGCACTCCAGTCCATCAGTTAACATCTGGAGAAGACAAAAAATTTAAAGTTTTGGCTTGTAAACGGTGCTTGATCTGTGCAGATTTCTCTCCTGATTCAGACCAGAACACTTTTTCACTGCAGGAAGCGTTATTATGGATTATGGACTCTGTCTTAATGCTGGATTTGTTTCAGCTTTTGTCTTCTCCAGATGTTAACTGATGGACTGGAGTGCTGTGGATTACTTGTGGATTATTGTGATGTTTTTATCAGCTGTTTGGACTCTCATTCTAACGGCACCCATTCACTGCAGAGCATCCATTGCTGAGACACTGATGCAGTGCTACATTTCTACAAACCTGATGAAGAAACAAACTCTTCCTAATTTCGGACGGCCTGAGGGTGAGTGAACCAGCAGATTTGAATTATTTTTCAACTATTCCTTTCAGTGTGTAAATAAATCCTGCATGACCAGAAGATCACAGAGACTCTTCCACAGGTAAGCGACACTCATGTTCCCTTCAGTAACTGTCAGTGGAGTTGAACCTGATGATGCAGTTTTAATCTGACAGTCATCATGAGGATGTTTTTCATCTTTCACAGGCCGAACACGAAGCGTTTGATGGTTTGTTCTCAGCAGATGTCTGATCATCAGATGTCTTCTGGAGCTCTCATCTGACCTACTTCTGTCACAATTACAATAATAATTCATCAGCATGAGGTCATTTCCTATGAGAAATGAAGCATAGAGTGTTTCTCAGGATAGATTAGACGATTCTGAGCTCCAAGAATCAATCTTATAAACGAGTGACTGTCATTAGATCATGAAATATGACAGCATGAGTCTGTATCTGATCAGACGCTGCAGGAGCTTTTCTCAAAACAAACTTCATTCTTCCTTTGCTTTGATGTTTTCTATTGAATGAATTAAATGTGCTTTTTGTGGTCACTATCTGTTTCAATGCAGTACAGGAATTACATGCACTGAAAAACTTCTGTCATATTATTATTTTTTGATCAGAAGACGCAGTGCAGAGATGCTGGAGCGTGTATCTGCTGATTGTCTGTTTGTTTTAAACTCCAGTGAGTGATATTGAACAGGCGTTCAGTGACACACATATCTCTGCGTATCTACTGGAAACAGTGACATCAGGCCGGTTCTGTCCAGCCTTCAGAAGGCTTTGTGTTTCTCTGTGCCGCCCACATGTGAGTGTCAGCGGGCCTGTGCTATCACACCGCTCGTTTTATAAGCCATGACTGCATCACTATAATATTTGATATGTTTCCTGGGCGTTTACATAGTTAAACACACACACACACACACACACACACACACACACACACATCGGCTGCATTAGGAACCGTCACACCGGAGAAAAATCATCTTAAAGACTTCTTATGATGCACTTAGTCACAAAAGAATGCATACATTTGACTGATATAAGGAATAAATCCCCGTTATAAACAGGAAATGCCATACTGTCTAAATTCAAACATTTAAAGTCCTAATGGAATGCTAATGGAATTTCTGTCATAACAAATGATTTAGAGATCAAACAGAATCCTGCTGGATGAGCCGAACGTCCTTCCTTATTTAATAAGAAATTAATGGCAGTAAAGACATTTATAATGTCACAAACGTTTCTATTTCAAATAAGTGATGTTCTTTTAGACTTTCTGTTCATCTGAGAATCCTGAAAAATAAAATTTATCAGTTTCCACAAAAATATTGTGCAACACAACTGTTTTCAACATTGATAATAATCAGAAATGTTTCTTGAGCAGCAAATCAGCATATTAGAATGATTTCTGAAGATCATGTGACACTGAAGACTGGAGTAATGATGCTGAAAATACAGCTGCGCATCACAGAAATACATTACAGTTTAACATAGATTCACACAGAAACAGCTTTTACTGATTATATACCATATTACTGATTTTACACTAGAATCTTTCTAACCCCAAACTTTTGAACTGTAATGTGTAAGATAGATATAAATGTCATTTTTGGCGTGTGTGTGTGTGTGTCTGTGTGTGTGGGTGTGGGTGTGGGTGTGAGTGTGAGTGGGTGTGTGTGTGTGTGTGTGGGTGAGTGGGAGTGGGTGTGTGTGTGTGTGTGGGTGTGGGTGAGTGTGAGTGTGAGTGGGTGAGTGTGAGTGTGAGTGTGTGTGTGTGTGTGTGTGTGTGTGTGTGTGTGTGTGTGTGT